CGCATGCGCAGAACGTACGCTCCAGTTGGCGTCGGTTTGGTGTGTTCGGAGGCATTTTTTTGACCGACTCGAGGAGACGGGAGCCGACTGATCAGTCCGAATGCTTTTCTGCCGACGGTCGGCCGTTGGGTTGGTGTGTAGAGGCCTTAATGAGCCCTTGGCCTCAGGAGAAGTTTCCTTGTTAGGCAAGATATCTCCTGCCTGTCTCATGATGCTACCTGCAATCATGCTGAAAGAAAACTGTGTTGTAGAGATGATGAGATTGTACAATACGGCAAAAGCAGGCAGGACCAACAGATGATGACGTTTTCTTTGACGACATCTGTGAGTAAGCTAATTAGAAGCAACAAGTCATGGTTTGAAAATGCAATCAATCTCCGCAGCTTTGAAACATATTTGAAAGACCTCAGATTTAGGCAATTTTAATTGTCTTAATCTCACTTGAAGCCGTTAACTAACTTAGCTGTTGACAATCTGGACGAACTCTGCTGTGAGAGAACAAAAAGGTGCTGTCGAAACATTACATAAACTGGGACTTTCTATTCTGTGGTGGCCCCTTTCAGTGACTATTTTGTCTACATACTTTATGGCTGACTAAAGTAATAATGAAGTTAAGAATTAAATCACACACATTGGGAAGTACTTTCTCAACAAACCTGCAAAGGTTAGTGACAAGCTCACCTTGAAGGGGAGCGCTCGGCCAGTAACACACAGGTGCAGTTAGGGTGTGAGTGTGAAGGAAGGATCAGATCCTTTCCTTTACTGTAACAACAAATTTCCCCCCCAGGGATGAATAAAATATTTCTGATTCTGATTACAGTTGCATTATGTAACTTTCTACCTTAAAATAACATTAATTTTGATACTAACTTGTAATAGGGTGAACCTGTGTCATGTAAGCCTGTTTTTTCCCTATGTAACTCTGGTCTCAGGTCAAGTGTGTCATGCTTTATGGCACTAAGTCAAACACATGGAGCACCGGGAGAAGGAAGATTGCAGGTCTGGGGGCAGGGGAATGCTGACAAGAGTGGTATTGGGTTGTGCCAAAACCAGAGCCTTCTTGCTGTTGGTAGTAGTCAATAATGTTAACTTTTTTGCTATGTCTTATTGCCCTGGCTTGTTTGGGTGTGTCAGCGAAGTAGTCGACTCTAGTTTTTGATTGTGACTAATACAATCATGAATACACGTGTACAGCTGTCAATATCTATGGCAATGGTATTGCACTCTGTAAGATTTGGTATCTGTTGCAATTTGGCACCCCCAGCTTCATAGTGTGCTTTCTCGTCTCGCAGGTTCTCTTGGATCCTGGTGGAGGTATTAGGGACCGAGACAGCTAGGCTAATAGTTTAGGCTAATAATTCCCGCATCGTTTGTCGAGTAGTCAGTCAGTCTGTCTGTCCTCCAAGCAGATGCAGAGCAGAGTGGAGGAAAGAAACAGTGAGAGAGCTAACAATGACTGCACTGTGCATGAAGGCTTTATGAGTAAAAAAAAATTGTCTGACAGCTGATGTAAAAAAAAAAAAAAAAAGAAAAAAAAGATAGATTGCTGAGATTGGACTGGGACATCCCTAATAGTGTTGCTTTAGGCAACAGTACTAGTCAAGGTGCAAGTTACCTTCTGTAGGGATACAAAGTAGAGATGAACTAATCCACTACCTATATTTGATATAGATACTGATACCGAAATTATTAGGGACGGAGCCAGTATCAAACTGGAAGGTCCCTATTTTTTTGCTAAAATTATTATGATTTTTAGCACCTTTCACTGCATTTTTGACCCCCTGAACATATACGAAAGCTCAATTTTGTTTGGCAAAGTTGTAGGGCCTTTCAGGTCATCCACTAAGAAGGCCACTACGTGGCGCTCGTTTTAAGCAAATTTCGAATAACTCCTGCATCTTTTGTCCCACATTCAAAAACCTTATATCAACGCATTTGGTGAATTAACCTCCACCTCCCATATAGGCCACGCCAATTTTCTGCCTATAATTTTTTTTTTTTGCTAGAGCACAAAATGTCCAAAAAATATGTTTTTATGTTCCATCCATGCGCTTTTGTCCGATTCACACGAAAATTTAAGTATTTTGATATTTCAAAAAATAAGATTAGCACTTCCTGTAGATTTTTCGTCAAAAAAGGAAGTGGACCATTTCTCCACATTGGTATGTCCGATCGACACCAACCTTGGGTCCATAGTTCCCCATGTCTTCATTAGGCATCGTGCACAATCTTGAACAACCTGAGGCCACCGCCACAAGGTGGCGCT